ACTTTATGCATGGGCAAAGATCCGATTTAAAACACGGCTTCAACCAGGCAGGTAATAAAATTGAGAACAAAAACAGTGTCATGCATTGGCTGATACACATTTGGAAAATAATAGATCCACAAATGACACAAAAGAATGCTGTCCTGTCACGGCAACACATAAAAACATATTATTTTTATATTAAATTAAGTAAATAATTTGCCAACAATAAAATGCTGACGGCTGATTTTCGTCCTACTTCGACATTCTGCTAACATACCGTTGCTAATTACAGGAGCTATTCAGTTTTATAATCGCATGCATAAATCTCAGGAGTAACTTGATTACAATCACCATAATTCATTAAGGCCGATTAGTGGTCATCAGACAACCTCATTGAACTCAAACAACCTCCGAATCACAGTGCTTTATAGGAAAAGCACTACTTTTAAGTTTCCAATTAATATCTCCGTTTAAGGATACCATTAGCTTGTCTAGTCATTTTCTGTTTGGAAACTTCTCAAGGTTTTAAGAAAAGGAACACGTTAGACTTAAGTAGATTTAATTTTTTATTTGATCATTCAATATTTTTTTTTATCTTTGTTTAAATTTTTGTTAAACTAATATAAGGTTTGGTATAATCATCAAAGCTAAAGTTTAGCCTGCGGGTATCCCCAATAAATCCAATGGCAACAGTCGACTATTTGGTCTCTTTTTCTTTCGATTAGCATCAACTGAAAAATAACCCGATGCAACACTTAAGTATCACGAAAGCTATAAGGCTATTTTACTGGGTGTTGTCTAGACACTAACCATACATAGGATAGTTCTATCAAAGCGTTTATCAGTGACGTCGATTACGGATCTGCGTCTTTATTTATTACTTTGAGAATAGTGCTCTCTGTATCTTTTTTGAAATATTATTTATTTATTTATACCTATTATATGTTATATGTAGCTCATCTGGGCATTTATTTCTCGCTGTTGTATTATAGGTTTATCACGAGACCCACATGGATGTTTCCAGTGTACTTTTTAATATGATTTCTTACCAAGGTCTTCGTAGGCTGAGACAAACTATTTTTTTAATTCAGGGACTATGCGCACAAGAATTGGTGCAATGATTTTATTGAGCACCGCCACTATAAAAGTTAATTCTTATAAATTTGGGTTGCAAGAGATAGTAATCATCATATTAACCTAACCTTATTCACATTATAAGGTTATTATGACGACACTCAGTGCGAAACAATAAAGACATTTGAGCTGAATTTACTAATGCATAACAATTATAATCTTTCATGACTATTAGAACACACCAGTATCACTCGTTTCATTGCAGTAACTTTCATGGGCTGACATAACATCGCAGCCAAAGGAAATCCATAAAATAAAGTTTTCTAACTATTCGTAGTGCGAAGTTGTGTAAATCGTTACTTTAACGTTCTAGTATAATTTCGGGATGCGTTACTTCAAGAATCTGATTACTTGCGTTCTCCCAAAATGCGCAGAATGTGTATAAACAAATTCAGAATATCCATGTATAATTCAACGGTGGCTAGCATATAGTCTTCAGGCGAGCTTCGGTGCATGATCAGTTGGGTGTCAACAATGATGAATATAGAAAAGAGTCCAGCACCGAAGATCGAAAGAAGCAGTTCACCCGATGACGATGGAAATATGGCGTTCATTAGCTGACCGAGGATAAGGACCAGCAGGAATGAGAGAAGACTGAAATGTTTAAGAAAAATTATGCCACTTGGCAGAAAGAAGACTTGAAGCCTTCCAATACTAAAGGTTAGTGGTTACAGAAATTAAAGCTCAGAGTTCGCCGAATACTTCTATTGAGAGCCGCTGAAATTCACAGTGTCAAAAAGGCGATACAACCATATTGAAAAATAAGCAAGGTTTGCTGTTTTTGACGATAGCGATCTATAGTTTTTTTTATCCTTATGCATATGTTCCGACGGTTATTTGAAAGGCAAATTTTGTTATCTTTTTACTATTCATCCAATACTTTGTTCTCTTTGAAGTAATTGTTCTTTCTGAGAGTTTTCTCGCTCTTTTTTATTTTAAAATACACAACACTATTTGAACTAGTGTTTACAAAAGAAGGAAATAAAACCTGCCTGTAAAAACTTCCATTCGGTAAGTCTTTCGTTACTATTTAAGTATGCTTGTATTTGTTTTATTAAGCAATGCAACGTAGAAAACTAATTTGCAGTTACTGCCAAGTAAAGAGCTAACAGTCTTACAATTTGCGATAGCCGATAGAACCTTAATTATATGAGTCCGGTATAATTAGATTGAGATGAAAATTATATGAGTCCGGCATAATGGGGGGCTCGGATAAAACCAAAAATAAGGAAAGGTTCTATTTATGGCCCAACATGCAACTCTATGGCACTAAGTCCCCCTATCGTAACCGGTAATTCAAAATCATATTGTGCTGCGATATCGAGGTCTGCTAAGGAAGGAAAAAACTAAAGGTCTGCTATGGAACACTTGTTTCATCTGTTCTAAAAGCTTGTTGTTTACATACAGAGCAGGCATGGCGGTGAAGTCTTTCTTCGTTTGTAATGTGAATGTAGTCAAAGCAGCAGTGACCGCAAGAGTGAGCAAGAAAGCCTGGAGCACCACGAGTTGATCGTAGAATGACACCACAACACTAATTGTGTAAGCTTGAAGAATAGTCTGTAAATTTTAATAAAATAATCAGATATATAGCAAATTAATATAAGACAAAGTTTGTATGTTTAAAGTATAAATCCTAGTTGAAATAACCACAGTTTTCCAGGTGCATATTAGTTGTTTTCTCACTCTAACAATTATTTTTTATTTCCCCAACATCGGCCCAATATTTAATAATCAAGGAAAATTTAGTACAGTGTAGTTTGCTTTTAATAATGTAAAAGTAGAATATTAGTAATAAATACATTTTAGGCTAACGCAAACTACCAGCTATAACATGCTTATCGAATTCGCGATGTTAATGAACACAGCATTAGCATTGTTTTTAATGCCGCAAAAAGCAACTCATCAAAGAGCTTTATTGTGCCTATTGATGGAGGAATATTTTAAAAATTATTAGTCCGCGATTTAAATCACAAATGTAAGTTGTAATCGCGAAATAAAAACATGACCAGTAAGAATGACACTTAAGCCATATGCACTGCAAGAATTATCGAAACAGCTGGTTTAGATGTAGCCCTAAAACTCATACAAAAAGGTCCGGCTTAGATGTCCAGCCTATATATATATATAAGAAGCACAGGTAGGGTTACAATTGACGCCGATAATTATTTATATTAAAAAATGCGGAAAATGATAATACTAATAATTATTATTATTGAATAGAGTAATTGCTTTGCAATGAAATACGACACTTTATACCACTCACTCCTCATTGCGGTACAAAATTTTTAAATGAAAAAATCATAAGGAATTAATTCTGCGTGTGTATATCATTTCGTGTTGCACAGATATTTCTTATTTTCTGTGGTATTCCTTATTTTTAAAATTTGAAAAGTATAGATTCTATGATCAAAAAAATTTTGCGCGATTTTATATATTATATATAATATATGAAATTGCGCTATATTGGCTTAAGAATAAAACTATTTTCTCCCCTGCTCATAAGAATTTACAAAGCTAAGCAGCCCTATATAAAGTTTAGTTTAACTTACTGTGACATTCACTTATATTTTTTATTTTATAAGAATAATATATGTTCCAATGATGATGTCTAGGTTAAAGTAACGAACTAAGTAAACAAGCCAGAAAAATATATAGAATGTCAGACTTTGGATATATTCTTCAAGCGCTGATGCAGTTTTCATTAAAAAAAAATATATGCTTTCTGGGATGTATTTTTTTAGATTTTTCGTTTTCCTTTCATTTAAGACAGACGTCACTCTCAGATATATATTCACAGAATAAAGCCTGACTGAAGCTTAGTTGAACGAAAGGCTACCTTCAAAATTGTAACACTTTGCTTAGTATTCTTTACAGTAGCCGTATACGTATACAATGATTTAGAACAGACAAGCATTGTTGGGCCAGCTGAAGTGCACCACTGGTGCCTAAGCGGTTCGTTTAGGCAAGAAAAAATAGCAACTCCGTCATTACAATTTTCCACCTTAGTGGTCCTAGCTTGCAATAGCTGAAATTAGCTAAGTAAAGTTTGGTTTAGCTGCTCAGCTATATTAAATTGATTCTTTATGAACTTGCCATCATTTTCAACTCCAGAAAAGAACGTGTGCCAAATAAGGCAAAAGATAATAAAGCCGTATCCACCGAAATGGCATCTCCGAAGTTTGTTAGAAAATATGTTTTTAATAGAGAAAAAAACAAAACAATTTCTAAGTATGCTCTGTTCATACACTAAGTGGTCTAATATTATGCATTCTGCCCTCTTCAACTTAAATGTTGACTATCGGACTGTCTACTTCGATAAAAACTACAACAAGTACATCACGCTCGTATTAAGCATTAAACAGAAGCTTAGAAAAGCATTCTCTAGTTTACTGGTGCGTACTTAATGTATGTCATGCACTGCTATAACGGGTTTGTATTAATTTATTTTTAATTTGTAGCATCATAATTCACAATACACCTTGCCTTATATAACATTCACTCATATTACATATACCGCTCATTGAGTGCATAACTTCAACCCGTCTACTGAGTATATGTAACTTACCCATTGTCTCCCTTACAATTGGGGGAAAAAAAAAAATCAAATTTCAGTACCTAAATGATGGAATATTAAAGACACAAACTTTGCAGACGAGATTCGTCAAAAACATTGGCCTCAATTAAATGGTTTCCAAAAAGCACCCCTGTCCTTTCGGCGTAATGCTTAAGACAAAAGATTGCCTCCACTAAAAATGAAAAGTTATGTATACTTACATACAACCCAAGAAGAATATAGTTCACGGGAGTTGCCCTTCGCTTGACAAAAAGGCAAAGCAAAGTTCCCATGGATAGCACGAATGACGTTGGTAGCATCCAGTGGTTTTCACTAATGAATAGTTTTACTGAGGGAAGAAACATTGCGATGGCCGTCAGCGCTACTGTGAGACACAGTTGGATGGATAGAATTCCATATACCTTGCGTAGAAATCCTGTACAAAATACACAACCAATTTGATATAATTAGGTTTAATTAAAAAAAAAAAACTGCTGTAGGTTTTTACGTAAATTATTTAAAAGCATCTAACTACTTTTGTAGAAGCCCATCTTTCGTACCTTAATATATTTAAGACCCGAAAGCATAGAATACGTTAGGCACACATAATCTTAAAAGTTTACCTCTTTGAAGAGATAAATGTTATACGCGCTGTATTTCTATGAGTGCAACCCAGTTAATAATAAATGTTATTGCTTTGCTTAACGCTACGATTACCCATTCCTTTTGAGAGACACGACACCACAGCTATGCGTGTCAGCGGCAAAGCTATGTTAAAAACGTCACTGTGTATGTAAATGTGTGCCAAGTCACCCACTTGTGCGCTATGTGCCAAAGTAAATAAGCTTGAGTCGTCCGTAAGGGGTCTTATCTTGGAAGGATCACTTACAGGATATTCAAGCGAGTAATCAGATATATGCCCGAGCAATTTATACAATACAATACATATCTACTTATTAGTTTGTCTAGCATTCTTTAACTTAAAAAAAAATAGTTCGAATATAGCTAACATATGTTAAGAAGTTATTTGGCTCTATAAGCATAGAATCGTTCTGCTATGGAACGGTACGATCTGCTTTTTGAGCCAAAATCTATGTTATCTCTAACGTAACTTTCGACTTTTTTTGAAAAATCCAAAGTCATTTGCATGAAATCGTGATAACCAGAAGATATAGAGAACACTAAACACATCGATATTTCGACCACCAAAATAGATCGATCAAATAACCGCTAGGATTCACTCTAAATGTATATGCATATGAAGTTCGCAATTTTCCGGTGAGGTAAATGTTGTTTCAGCGTATTCTAACATTTCTGAAGTCAGCGGAGTATCTGCCATATCAACCAACATACCGGCTGCAAAGAGATCGACACAAAAACGAACACTGAAGTATTAACGGGACAATAGTCATAAAGTACTAAGTATTAGAAAGAGAGAAATGCTGAAGAGAAGGCCTAAATCGTCATGCAGCAATGTGAGTCATGAAAGTCTTAGTCGAGCAATCGGCATTATACCGACTGTTTTTAAATAACATATAATTTTTTTAATGCGAAACCACTGAAGTGAACTTTAACACAGAAAGATGACACAGCTTTGCGATATGAGTTTTTTAAAAAGATTTTCTTAACTGATTTTCTTTTCTGTACGACTGGGTAGATTTTGTAATTATTACTCGAAGATCCAAGGTCCACATATGTGATACATTTCCGAACGCAGACGGTTTCCGCTAACGATAAACGTTAAAATTCGTGTGCTGTCAAATGTGTTATAACAGTTAGAACTCTGGCTTCTGAGAACGTACGTTTATCAACTTCAAGTTCGAAAAATCAGAAAAACAAGCAACTTACTTGAAAAATGGAGTTGCTCCTGGAAAGCACCTTCTGCCTTAGGTCCCTAGATGTGCTCAATATATAAATATCGATTGAGGACTATCAACCATGATACTACACTCATATGATACATTTTAATATCGGTAACTGGAAATTTACTTATCTTCCAGCTTGGCTTTAGCTTAGGATTAACTTCAGCATTCGTCGTTTTGTATTTCCTTTCCTACAAAATTAAACTTGTTATCTGTCCCATGTAAGCCTTTAAATTTCGATGATGATTGTCAATATAAATGCTTATACTTTTGTTTACACTCTTGTGAATATTGTACTAAAGCAGCTTTTAAATAAAGTAAAGAATATTTTATTGCATTCATTTCTTACATCATCATGCTGTTTTCTTTTTTAACTTCAACTAACATATACCTCTGTTTCGAATTCATTTGTGAATACAAAACTTGGCATTGTCGACTCTAAGCAATGGAAGTATTAAATAAATTTCTATGACACAACTTCATGTAACTATCTCTCTATTTATTACTATGTTCTAAACCAATTTTTTTTTATTTTAATACTTATAACTTGAGAACAGAAAGTATGGAAATATACGAGATATACACATATTAGTTCAATACTAAATACCTCTAAAATAATTATTTACAAAACAAAAAGTCTGTCTGATTAGCACAGCTGAATGATAGTTCCACTCAGTTTATTCTTCATTAACAAATAATCTCACAAATGCTTGCACTTTTTAATAATATCTTATATATATATATATATATATATATATAGGATTTGTCTAGTAAATAATAGATTCCTTGTTTTAGATACATGTTGTAGCTTACAAAAACACTGTTATCTATTATTAGGAAAATTCATTTTAAAGAGTGCAAATTGACAATGGAACAGAGTAGACTCTTTAGGATTTATCCATTCTCTTATGAGCGGAAAGGCGTGAATATATTTCACGGTGTACTTCTATGTAAAAAATATTTTTTATTGTTATGAATGAAAAAAACTTCATATTACGACCTAGGTGCGAGGCATATCCGGAACAAAGAAATGGTTTATTGGAATAATAATATAAAACAGTTTCCAATAAATTGCCCAAACAATATGCATGCTTTAGACCGGCCTTTTTGTTTTATTATAGGTTAAATGGTGTCGATATGTTTAACCCATCTGGGAAGTCCACAATGATATATAAACGTTCTATTGTTAATCTTATTATGTATGCTGGTAACTCAGAAAATGTTTCCATTTTATTTAATTTAACTCCAGTTTTATTATCGTTCAAACAGTTCTTCGTTACCCACCTATAGTTTTTGCTTATTTTATCGAACAACAAAACTATATTTAAGATAAACATGGATAGAATAGTAAAAGTCATACCCATCCGAATGGTGACATGAGCCTTGGCAACGGAGTTTCTGAAGCTGAAGTCATCCTGTATAGACGGCTCGCCGTTCATACTCAGAAGTGGATCCCTCATCTGCATTATGAAGCTAATGGGTGCATGTGAAGAAACCGAAGCACTTAAAGTTCTTTCACTGCACGGTACGATTTGAAAAAAGGTTATAGGCTAATACAAAACTTTGATAAATTTGCGACAGGTCGATCACAAACACAATCAAGAGAAATACTCACGTTGTACAATATCTATCAACCAAATAGTTATTAACTTAAATAAAAAATGCCTTTCTGGCAACTAAAGGAGCAGTATATAAATAAATTACACAAAATACAGTTTACTTGTTTCGTTTGCGAATAGAATGTACAACCAGATGCTACCGCAAAGCACAGATCACAACGTACAGGGAAAAAGGAGATTGTAGACACAAGGAGGGACAACAATCAGCTGACCTAATAGCAGGAAGCCGGATGGCGCTGCGCGATACTTTTGAATTTTTGGCGCCACAGAGCATTTACGACGAAAGTATTGCATAATCAATCGATTATTATTAACAAGCTTTCATTTACCTTGTATTTTCATGCTGTTTCTTTCCGTGCATCACTAACTCTTTCCTCATGTACTGATTTAAATAAGCGCTTTCATACTAAACATAAAAAACCGGTTTTTTACTGATGTCGCATTCAACACGAAACATTGTAATCCAATGATTTCTTATTGTGCCCCATATGCATAGTATTACAAATAATATACTAATTTGCGTTGTACTTATGCGCAATCATCTCAGGCCAGGAGAATCCAAAAAAAAACACAGATACAGTCCAATAAGGAAGGCTTATTAGGATTATCCTCTTAAAAGAAGGAATAAGCTGAAAGGAGTGGTGCCTGACGGACAGTGAGAACATCGCACACAAGATTTTGCTGCTTCGTCAGGTACTTTGGAGGACAAAGCCCGCCTACAACTCAACACGTCTTGGGGGATGGAGATCTGGACAGGACGACGGACTGAAATGCGTCTTGTAAGCCCGCAAATCCAGTAGTAGCTCTTGCAAACTTTGGTTTGAAGTAACGTTGGAATCAATTTTGTACCATGGTCCAAGGACGCGAAGTCCGAAGTTTAATAGGTGACCATTTAGTAATGCTAATAAAAGGTTTGGTCTTATAATGCATCAGGTCTCAATCTTGGAAGTTGACTATATAAATCTCATCCAAGGAACGCTCTTTTTAAAAGCAATGTAAACCTCTTTTTGAAAGAGTCCTTATTGATCGATTTGGGGTCTATGAGAATGTATACAGCATAATACTTTTACACTGCAGGCTCATGTCTTACAGCAAAACGTGTAAGTCCTATTTTCGAAGTAGCCAGTCCATGTATGCATAGCATAATAGCTAATTGGCTTGGTCTTACGACTCCTGACATTTCGTATTATTATGATACCATCGGGAGCTCTTGATGAGATATGTATTTGTTATAGACGTCTTCTGCGTGCCTTCGTTTGGAGGTATCGTATGGTCAAGCTCGGCCGCTTGCTGTATGAGCCTATGACAAATTCTTGAATGCTCATTGTAGTGGGTCAAAGAAAAGAATTTTTACAATGTTTAAACAAATTCAATCTTTCTATCTTAATATAAGCGACAAAGTTCAGCGCCAAAACAAAATACTGAAATTTACCCTTTAAGAGTACAAAAAAATGCGTCAGATTTTAATAGCCTACGTAAGCCAAATAAATATTGCGCCCACTGAACTGCTGCGCTTCTTTAATCGTTTACGTATACACTTCACAAGAACAAGCAAGGGCACTTTAGCTTTTCATCGTCATTGTGCATTTAGAGATGTTAGGTGAGTCTCTAAAGAGGAAATGCTGCCTGCGCGTAAACGCTGTGGAATAGTTTCAACCTTAACACCTTGAAAGCAAATGCGATAAAAATAGTTCCATTCTGAATGACGATAATCACAGTTCGGTAGACTTTGAATTCGAACGTTGACTTGTGACTCATCTAGCTAAATACTTCTTCTGAATGTCGCCTTTGATTCATGCCAGTAGAGAGTAGGATCCAAGATGCCTGCGCTTTGGAACAGTCGATAGAAACTAAACGACTTCCACTAGTACAGACAGTAATCAAACACGTCAGCGCGCCTTTATCGCGCGATCACTAAATTAATTCAGCTTTTTTTGAGCATTGATGATAAAAAGTATTTTATTTATGCGAGCGAAACTTCTTAAAAAAATATCTAACTAGTTACCGGAATTCAAAGTCAGAATTAAGTAAGCAAAATAACCACTCGATGTAGGCAAGTTAATGCGTAAATCAGCCGGGACAGGAAACGCAGTATCAGTTTAAATGATGTCCTGGTATAGTAACGCTATCGATACGCCAGTCCTGGCAGCATGGAGGACATTTGTAATAAGAAATAAAAACGTTTCATTGATAGAATGTGCTGAGTATTAGATTTAGATAGAGCTTTTTAAAGTAAGACGTTAAAGTTATGTGCATTTCATCCAACCCGCTAATATACTGTTAAACAGGGTTACTCAAGAAAATCTTATACTTGAAAGACGTTGCGTTGTTTTAAAGAGAGCCAAGCTTGAGGTACGAAAAAGAGACGGATGATAGGAGAAAACCACAGTACTTAGTTTTTGTGAAAAACGTCAAAATGCAAAACTTAGGCTTTAAATCAAAGGGTTAAAATTATTTAAAAAATACAAATATAGGACAATAGCAATTAAACAGGATTCCTATAGGACAGAAGCGGTAATATGAAAGTACATTACAGAAAAAGGTAAGTCTACCATAAAATTAACAACATCACAAATATTCAATAAATGTGCAGTAAAACAGTTTATTTGGACAACTATTCGTGTCCTAGAACCGACATGTTGTAACGCTCCGTAGACTCATAGTAGCTAACTCTAGAAGAAAACGACAGTGTAAAATGAACAAGATGGTCCTTGTTATACATTGCTTGGGAAATTTTGTAAAAGGAAAGAGTGGAATACCAACATTTCTAGAAATAAAATTGTAGAATAACACTACATAAAACAAGATTAGACTAGATCGGAGAGTACACTACGTAAAAAAATCCACTGAATTCACTGTATCAAAGAAGAAATACGCCATTACTATAAAAGCGGAAATAGATAGACGATAACGGCGGATGCGAAGGTAGAAAGGATGAATGGATTAAAAAGGTAATTGAAAGATGGAAGGAACAAAATGAAAGGTAATATGAGCATTCATATGGAAGCCTGCTACGGAATTATTGATATGCTGAGTGCTTATACCTATATAAATACAAAAAAGGAAGAAATTATTTTATCCTTCACGGAAGAGTTTGACATAACATACAACAAAAAAAAAAAGAAAACCTGGGCAGTGGGTTACTCGTATGCGCCTAATAATTTGGGTGCCTTTAAACTGTCCACTTCCTAGATAGCTCATGGAAGTGATTTTTCTAGCTATAATAGAAGAATAGAATAGATGTAACAAACTGTTATTATTAAGATTATTATCATTATTAAAATACAACTTCATTAATCGAACTTCCTCGAATAATCGTAATTATTTTGTAGAAGATATACAGACCTTGGAGCATATTTTTCTCTTATTTAGCAATACCAAGTTTATAGATTTAATGCCTAAAATGTGAATAATAATTTAACTAAAGCTCCTTTTTTGTTCATGGTTATTCTTGGATATTGTCATTACTAATCCTCATGTTTCTTACATCGCCTCCAAGGGGGGTACGGGAAAATGTAATGCCGTAAGTAAAGCTGATATCATAATGCCGACATTTGTATTCAAAAGTAAAAAAATCACGTGCGAAGGTCCTTTTCTCTTTAGCATATTACGAATACGTGCTTATGCGCACTGTGCACAAACTATATATCAATAGAGTATAACTGTATGTTTGACACTCGTGCTATGGGAAGCTATAGCGGTGTTTTATCGACCTATGTGTTTTACAGTATGGTGATGCTATCCCCAAAGCTAAAAGCCGTTGAGAAGTTGGGTCTTTTAGTTAGTTCTCTCAAATGACGACACACATCCTACAGGGGCAGTGAGAATAAAAAAAAATTCGTAAGCAACATAACTCTGCGTTTTCTTGTACGGAAGTAAAATTGCACGTTATTCTTTACGACAGTCTTGTAGTTTCCGTATACCTATTGCTCATATATTATAGCACCTAATTTAAAAAATCAAATTTAAGCGCTTGACTGGATACAGAACAGATTTACTCCTGGAGGCAATACCAAATGAGACTTGCCAAATGGATATATTGTGCTGGATACCATGTGCCAAGCTCATAAGGCTGTTTTAAAATGGCACAAAGTAGTCAACTGGGTTTTTTAAATCATCGTCTAATTCGCAATAACCTCCTTACGTTACACATACTAAAAGCATCAATAACGTCTTTGGGTCAAGTATATGATAATATAACACTGCTTTGCTAACAATGCGTTTCGGATTGTATTCAATGCTTCTAACGCCACTCTTAGCACACAATAAAGGTATGTTTGTATTTATTGTATTATATTACATATTATAATTGCAGATAAGCAACTAAGGGATTACTCTTCTGCTTAGATTGTTTATGGAAAATATAAGGAAAATAAAGTTAAGTAATACACTGTATTTGCTTCATCACAATATTACCGTAGGTCGTTATAAACTCGCTATATTTTTTTAAACCCCGTTGTATTTTGCAATTATTCATTGCAGACGCTACAACTCGGCTAACATTTTTTTGGCTAGTGATTGTCGTGTTGCTCTTGGTCGTGCTGCATGTCCCGCCACTGGTTGGGAGTTAGGGTTTGCTGTGTAAACGAGTGAATCACTTTCATCTCCTCCTTGACAACTGAAAACACGAGACGCTGCCGTGCCTGTAACGACATTCCCTCAAATTTAGGGGATACGATGACCGCCTGAAACAATAAAAAACGGAGCTTTAGGAATAATTATACTACTTTTCTTTAAATTTAACTTATGTCGCATGAGTCCATTTTGCAGGAAATTTTACTTTGTAAAAGGATAAAAGGAACATTGTAGTAACAATAGATGCTTCTTGAGGTATGACGCCACGTTTTCACTGACTGTCAATTTCATTTTTCGATAACCGTGGATGTATACCGTAGCTTACTGTGGGTCCACTTCTGCTCCTCGATAATGGCCGAATAAGGCAAATGTAGGCTTACGAGGAGAAAAGTTAATTTAACCTAATGTCAATTAAAATATACATTTACTTCAAGCAGATGCTGCTTCAACTTAGGTCTTATTTCAACTTATTTCGTAACTCTAAATATAGTTTGCTTAACTGCAGATTTACGCCTTTTTCCATTACAAATCTATGTTTTGCCATTATATAGTTCACATGTCGGTGATGACCATAAAATTATGACTAATATAAACGGTCAGAAACTTTCACGTGATATTATATGTAGAGATGATGAACGCAACGCGGTTGTTGAAAGCTTTGTTGTCTGACTTTTGCAAATCTATTCTGGTTCGCCCTTCTCTCTTGAGACAACTTCCAGTTTTCCTTCTTCTGTTATTCCCCTGCATATATCTTATTACGTATTTTTACATTCATTCTTTTCTTATATCTTTTTTCGATTATTTTGCGAGCTACCGTAAATAGAGTCTGATGTTTTTTTCGGTGTATTACACCTAGCGCCTGCATTCCAGACGAGAGGCTAGATGACAGGTTCAGTGATGGCGTACGTAACATACAGCTTAACACTGCCGCTCACCAGAATTTTTTTTTGGAGGGTTAAAAATGTTCCTCAAGCTTAGCTTTACTTTTTCTGTAAAATGTATTTTTTTAAACTATTTAGAAAGTTTCTATTTTTATGTTGCTCTGGGTACGCTGAATTTAGTTTCGCTAATCAAATCACTCTCATATTCACCTCGCCGAAGAGCGTTTTACAGTACATCTTTCAAATACCATCATGAGTTAAATTTTCATATGGTCAATCATGGTTCCTTTAATTTGCCTATATAGCGAAATTCGAAAACACCACATTGCTCTTCGAGGATCCTAACATTTAATTTGCTTTACGAACATCTAGGTCTTTAAAAAATTTAAAAAAATAAATAGCAGCGATAAACTTCAATATATATAGCGTGCGCATCCTTCCCTTTCCTATTCAGCTTGAACAAGGCGCATCTATCAGCAATGCACTTTAATAAATATCTTTTTAATTTTAATGGAGTAGTGGTACCTTAATTGGATCATAGGATAGGTCGTCGTTTGCTAGCAATAGGATTATTTTTACTTTTCATACTGAAAGGTTCTTCGTTGATCAGGTCTTTTTCGTTTCACCATATGTTCGAATGTATATGTATATGTACACATAATTCTGAAGATTATCTACGTTTACGCGTACCTGTTCAAAGTAGCATCTCAAAACTAAAGCACATTTAAACCATTACATGTTAATTTATTTTTCGTCTATTTTTATGTGTACTTTTCCATTTAGTAGTTTTACAATTCGCCTTTAAACTCATTATTATTTTAGTAAATTTTTTCAATTCATTTCTCTAGTTGCCTACATTCAATCTAGTCCTTACGGCGTACATACTAGTATCTGAACGACGGCAAAAAGTACTTAAGATTTTTGTGCACAACAAGCTCATAATAATTTAGTACCATTAACTGGCTGCCATTAAGCGATGCTTAGTCATTTATAACCGTGTTATACCTACCTCGAATTTTTGACCGCAGTTACACGACGAGACATCCTTGAGACGCAGAAAGGTCGTAGACAGTGCGCTTTTAAGCTTGTTCTCGATGTCCTTTGGTCGGACCACCTTGTGAGCACTCTCGGACACCATTAACCGAATTGGCCTAACTAGAGATGAACGTTTTTGGAGCACTCTTATAGTATGTCCAATCATTTTACAACCAAGCTCGGTGAACCAAATGAGTAACAAAATATATCACATTAATGCGCATGTTCATATAATTTTGAAAATAAATTGTGGAACAGAAAAGGGTTGCGTAGAATTGTGCTGAATAGAGTACACAACATGCGAGAGTGATTTGTAAAATGTACAGGTAAAGCTTTTCTAGAAGTAACGTTCCGTTTTGTCGCCTAACACTTCATGTAAACATCTGGCTTGCGTGTATGAACTCCGTTAACCAGGCTACAAATGAAAACCTCAAAAAGAGTGCACACAGTCTTTTCGCTCAGTTTCTTCGCTTTACGGTAATTTTTAGCTGTACGTCCAACATACACTTTCTATTGTCTTAGATAATGACATTACGTCAGTTGGATTAATTTAAATATCATGCATGTAATTAACGATCCGTATGATCGCTGATTAATGCAGCAGGTTGGCTTACACACAGATCTGATACTCACCAGTTATTATCTTTTCATATAAGATTTGCTTGTATTATTCGAGCTAGTTCGGCCTGTGTTCAAACAGAACGGAGATCACTGGAACAAAGGGATGAGAGAATGAAGCTTATTTTACAAAAGTTCGATTCAAACCTTGGCGCCAAGTTGTCACATGAGCCAAATACTCACAGTCTACGACGAGGAGACATGTGTAAACATAACAAATCCAGCCCTGAATCGATCATGGTGCCGTCATTTCCGTTACCGTGCTATGCTTGAATGTAGTATACGGGTCCCATTAAAAGTAGAAGTCAAGATTTTCGACCTATTCCTTGGCGAAGCTGGCTGAAAAACGTGTAAGTGTACTCAAGCATAAACTGTGGATTCAGAGCAGCGAGATAGGAATCATAATAATGTTATTTTCGTTATTATTATTCGTCTAAAATCTATTTAAATTTATTAAGAAGATGCTACATCTATCGACGACATTTTATGATTTCGATGACGAACATTTTACTTTGTAATGATAGTTGATGTATATTTCGCACCAGATTTGTAGAATAGTTAGTACCCGACAATGCAGAAGTGGAACTGATGATTATTGATGGCCAAGTTGGTATGTCGCAGCCACCGACAATGGATGTCCTTGCAATGGTGCAGTTGTAGTACTACCTACTAAACTTAAAGACAAAAGGTGGTCTAAGTTTAAAATATGGCGTTGACATGTCTTTTTTCGCGCTGGACGACAACCGTCTAAAGCAACGCTTAACGAGAATTCCAGACGGAAAATCCATTTACTCACAACGCCTATTAAATAAGAAATGTTATCTCTATATTCGGAACCGACAGAAGATTGAAGTTGGTTTGAATCTGTTGTTTTGAATACGTAATTATGAACAATAGATACCAACGATGAGTGTTATAATGTAAATGGTTGCACTAATTGTGATACTAAAGTGTGAACTCATAACTATACTTAGAAGATATATTGAAAACAAAAGGCTTGCAGCAAGTATATTGGAACCTAAATGCAAACCGATGCCATGATTTAGAAGAAATTTTGTAAATAAAATACTTATTAAGAAAAAAATAAAAAAAGAAAAGTAATAAAAGTAAAAAAATACTTATTATATGAACGAACTTCAG